ACAGTAAATATATGTACTTAGGATATGTTGTCTTTCTAAGCACAAGAAATGAGAATATCTGTCTATGAACATGCAACAATCATTAGTTAGACCGCAATTTTTCTAGTTAATTATGGAAATCAATTTATCTTGAGTACAAATTAAGATTAATCAAAATATATTGGTAGCAATTTGCCTGTTATTGTGCCGGGGAAATGGGGATACAGTAATGGAAAGCAAGCAACTTTTTTGTACCTTTTGTGTTGGTTTTCTTTCATCATTCATGAGTCATTATTATGGCATTTCATTATTTGTCTTAACAACTGCAATTATGGGTAGAGAAAATAGAAAGTTTGAATGGTTGAAAACTATGCTTCAAAGAGTAGAGGGATGAAAATAAAAACACCTTTCTTCATTTTGTTTTCTGCGTTGACTCAACATAAGATTATATTGAGTTCCTCCCTCATTTCAGGGGCTGGAACCCCAAAGCGACCCACACCCATGCTTTCTTACACAACAAGTAACATCATCTAGCATGTACAGGTTGTCATGTGGAATTTATTGTTGACCCTCCTTGGCACTTCTCTATTTTCTGTGTTGGGCCTTCTCAACTTTAAAAAATCATAACTGGATTTATTGCTATTGTGACAGATAAGCTATTTAAGACAATCAAATCTTTTTGTACATCTAATAATAAGTTAAATATCAATTACTTAAATAATTCAGTGATTATCTCTTTCCATTAAAAATAAAAAATTTTGAATTCGAATCGTATAACATACGGATAAAATCGGATATGCAGATGGAGTGGTATAAAGAACGAGAGATATTATTTCTCATTATGCAATTAAAATAAATAAATAATAATAATAATAATAATAATAATAAATTAAATGGCAACAGATAACTTTCTTCACTCGTCTTCGATTCAAACTCGGAGTATTAAGGTTTTACCAGTCGAAACAGGCCCTTAAGGCAAACATGCTAGCTAGAGGATGTATAGGTGCAATGAATATTGTGTTTGAGAAACTAACTAATCCTAATTATTAAAGCTAATGCTGATGTTTGCTCCTTTTCAGCCACATAATTTTGACAAAAAGTTGAGATAGCATCCATGTTTTACCGGAAACAAATTAAAACTTATCAGATGTACTAGGTCGATGTCCTGACCAATGATTCAGAGAGGAAATATGGTCCATGACAAGATTAACTGCACTTTCTATTAAGGATGCAATGCATTTTTAGAATTGGAAACTAGAAGGCCACCACAGTGGCAGTTCGACTAAGACCATGCATGCAACATAGCAGTGGTATGTCAACTTCACGCTGCATTGCTTATAAAAAAGGAAGAATCAATACCTAATGTGACTATTTTAATTTCTTTGTTGTATTTTTTTTAATGTATTGAGATAGTTCAATTCTGTATTTTTATTTTTGTCCTTTGAATAACACGATGAACTATATTAGAAGAGATAACCTTCTATTTTTACAAAATCATATAGATATAAATATATATATGTAAAAATAAAGTAAATCTCTTTACTTGTATGATTTGTTTAGGAAAATAAAAAACTAAAAACTATAACAATAATAACAGTTCTAAGGTCACGTACTCCCATGTAACATAAGAATCCTGAGATAGGAAAGAGTTTTTTTTTTTATTTTATAGTTTAAAATATAAAAAATAAATTATCAAATAAAAAAATTTTAATACAAGGAGTTGGTTTTTTATTTAATAATTTAATTTATATAATTTAATATAATTTAAATTATAAAAACTTTTTTAGATGAAGAAACTCTACTAGATTTCTATAATAATAATTGACAATTTTTTATTAATTTGGGATACATATTTCCATGGCAAAATAAATTTTTTTTTTAGGATAATTACTGGAGTGGACCTAGATATGTCTCGAAATTATCTCAGTTCTTGAATCGAATCAAATCCAGTGGGTTACTGGAAAGAAGGTTAATTACAAATCTGGTAAGTACAAGCCTGGATGAAAAAGGAACAGCTATAGCTAACTTCCAAAATCAGTCTGGCTTGAGAGGTGGGGTTTCGCTGACTTTGAAAGAAAACAAAGAAACCACTCTTATAACTATACTTCAATAGCTCAGGACAGGAAAACATGGGTCAAGAGATGGGAAGAAAACTCCCAACATCAAAAGGTAAATCCTCCAATTTTGCAATTTGTACTATAATATTTCTTTTGAAAAAGTATTTTACAATCAAAATTAATTTAAATTATAAAACATTAATTATTTAATAATAAATTAAAACCCTTAATATTAAAATCTCTTTTTATCAAAAAATTATTATTTTACAACTTAAATTAATCTAAACTATAAAATAAAATTCACTCTTTCTTTTACTTCTGAAACTTTACTGAGTCTACTTTATTACAGTAATAGCGGTTGTTTTTTTTATTGATTTAAGGTTCAAATTCCCGTGACACAGTATTTTTTTTTTTCCTTAAAGACAAGTACTGGAGCACTGAAGACAGGTCAAAAAGAAAAAGTACAATAGATGAAAGGTCATAAAGAACAGGAAGAAAACTGCAGAATGTATGACCATTGTCTTTGTCTAATGCAGAATATATGGTGTGGCTATTCCCACCTAAAAAACTATTTCGACCACTTAAATATATTTTTTTAATTGTTAGTTACAATATTTAAATATTTTAATTTATTAATTAATTTTAATTTATTAATTAATAAACATTAATTTTTTTAATTATCATTATTAATTATTTTTAAAAATTAAATCAAATAAAATAATATTTTAAAGACAAATATTAAAACAAGTTAGTGACCATAACAATTTTTTTTTGAGTAAAAATAACTACACCCTATAAGGATTAGGGATAAGTATTACTTCTTTTAATAACATACAAACATAGCATTAATCTTTTACAAATGCAAATGTGTGAGCTTTACTTAGAGTCAGAAACCACATTTACGTATTCTTCTTCAAATTCATAGTCCCAATTTTAATTCAATACTTGATTCTATTTATCAAAACTTTACCTCTTTCTTTCACCAAAAAAAAAAAAAAACTTTACCTCTTTCTTCGTTCACTTTTGACTTTTTGGTCTGTGGCTCAGCCTGCAATCAAGTCATGGTCTTCCTTTCAGACGACCATCCCCACACCAGCATGACGTCTCAGTTCGTTTCTTCTTATTAGCATCGACAGCAATGCATAGACACACTTTGAAGAGTAGTTTATCCGTTACCTGCCATCATAAGCGTTTAGATATAGATAGGTTTGAGCATTGATGCATCAGATCTTGTATCATCCGAACAAGTATTTAATGTGCAATGTAAGGTTTCTAACTTCCTATCAAACTCCTAACCAACAAAATCATTATTAGAAGAAAAATATCAAGGCTAGTTTTGAAGATTTTAGTATCTCAAAACTTGTATGGCATATTAGCAATGGGGATCCTGCACCAAGGAACAGCTTGTTAGGAGAAAAATATAAAGGAAACAATGGATTCTATAATGATATAATCTAAATATCACTTAGTCCTTTTAACAATTTCTTTGCTGCAGATGCAATTAGAAATAACAAAAACAAAGAATAAAAATTGTTGGTTTGTTAGGGAAATTACTAGTTGGGTGAATTAGCGAGCAAACCAGAGAATAAGAACAGAACTGAAGAATGTAGCAGATAAGGGTGTGGTTGGCCTAATCAATTAAATTTCATGGTTGGCATGGCCAGCTAAAGCAAATCTAATCACTTTCTTATTATGCTAGTCCACCAGAATTTTCATTCTTGATTGTTGATATGTGTTTGCAACCACAGATGCAGAAAAACCACACCTCCAAGGATGACAAGATATGAAGGACCTTATGATTTCAAGACATGCATGTTGATCCTTTGTTTGTGAGAGTGGTCATTTCTATTTTCTAAAGAACTTACTGGTCCATGCTTTCTTTTTCTTCTTCTTTTTTATTTATTTATTTATTTATTTATTTTTTAAACCATGCCCATCGAACACACATGACTAGCTGAATTTGACTATAGCAAAGAAGAGTCAAAATCAAGAGGATAGTTTCAAATTTTTCATGCCAACATAAAGGATGAGTTCACACCATATTTAATAGAATATCATCACTTCCAACTTGAACAGCGGGGTCAGGTACAAAATAGAAAATTCCTAATAAAATGAATCTAATTATATAGAAATGACCTAAAAAACAATTAAGAAGGAAATTAACTTTTTACACATGATAAGGATCCCCAAAGAAAACTCATCTGATCCCTTAACTCCATTACCATAATCTAACTCCCTCCATTGTCCATCTTCAGCATGGGGATCCCTCTGTAATCTCCATGAACTTATCTGTCAATATGCTTCACTGATCCTTAAAACATGGTAAGTTCATCAAATTTTGAGCTTAGCTTCGAAAGCAAAGATACTTGAAAAATATAGTATTAAGTGGCCTCAAGCTCAACTCCGAACTACAATGAACAACCATATGTACTCAACTCAATTACGCAAGCCACAATGGATATTCATAATTATGGTACATGAATCCTATATATACCATTCCCTTTGTTCCCAATGCATCTTTTCTGAAATAACTTCTTAAAACGCATATAAAGTTTCAAATTGAAGATTCAAACTCCCGGACAAGAATGTATTTCCAAAATCCAAGCTCAAACAATGTGAATAAAGAACTAGGTTGCACTTTATCAGATGATAATAATTCATCAAAGACGGGCTTAAAGTTTGGTAGAATCCATGACCAACAAAGGGACAGCAAAAGTAACACCGAAAAAATGGAAAATAAAGAAGAAAAGGCTAATTGAGATCATCAGTTGTCCACAATCTAAAAAGATCAACAGAAAGAAAAATCAAACTCCTTGACTGATTGACATTTACTTTTGTGCGATCTAATACAATGGTCATAGTTATCAAAAGGTCCAGTACCAACCTATCCACAAACTACATAGAAAAGCATTGGAGGAATATTTTTGCATACTAGCTCACTTCCATCCTTTCTCTTCTTCTGCCACCACCCCATTAAGTTTCTTCTATCACTTCACACATCAACATAATATCAATCCAGATAAAGAGATGAACAGAATAAACAAACCCATAATTGATGGCCTGGAGAAAATTACAAAACAGAATCAACAGGCAACAAAAATTTTCTTGTTTACAAGACCATCTAAACTTACAATGAGCAAAGATGGTTCAGTTTACACACAAAAGTTGAAACTTAAATTGACAATTTGCTGCAATTAGTATGAGAGAGATAAATACTAACCATCATTCTGGTAAACATTTTAGACTTCCCCTTAAGTGTCCAAATTCAGATATCTCCCACAAAACCCCCACTTACCAAAGATGATCTAATAAAGTAACAGCACATTTACAACCCAAATCTCCACATCTTGCATTGCATACATAAGCTTCGTTTCCAAATCAAAATTACATGCAGTCTCTTACAATTCAACCAATGTATTGGATATATAGCCATGGTTTCTACCTCAACATTACCATTCCAATTAGATCTCTACTCTAACTAGATATCTCCTAAATAACAGTTCTGCATCATATAAATACCATTACCCAAATGCATAAACCTATGTTGCCAATTCAGAATCCCATCCAATTCATCTATATAGTTCACAGTTTTGACCTTCTCCTCTGCCAGGCCAAAAAAAAAAAAAAAACAGTTCTGGCCTCTTCTCCTCTTCTCCTCTACATACAATACAATTCCAATAAACTTCCTTTTTAGCAGCATCAAATAGACCATGCAGAGCAGAGAATTCTATTTGGTGGAATAGAAACAAAATAGAAATTATCTTTCAGAGAGATGGTTCTGTCTGTGCTTGGTGTGTCCATATCACAGGGTAAATCCTTGATATCTCACACCGGTGCAGCTGAATTCGCGAAAAGGGCTGATTGGTAACTGGTTAATAGCTCTTGTCCTGAAGCCAAAAAACTATCAAGGCCTCCAGAGAGGCTTAAACTTTGAAAAATCAAAAAAAAAAAAAAAAAAATCAGGATTATTTCATGGACTTCTGGGAACGTATTTCGATATTTCCAGATTCTGTAACAGCACAAGACAATATTCGATGTGAATGGTAGTTTTTCGACTTAAAAGTATTCTTATAATTTTGTCCGGAATAACTTAAACAAACAAACTGCAGGGGCAAGCTCAAAACTAGATTAACAAACTGTATTGGGAACACAGTCTGTATCCTTGGCAAGACAACCAACAATTTGTCGGAAGTTTCTAATTTTGACAATAGGGAGTGGAAAAACTTCCTTTACTCTTAAGTTCAGTTGCACATTGCAGCACCAGTCAAAAGTTTAGCAATATAGAACGACTGTAATAAATGAAACTGAAATGCAACAAGCTCAATATCTCCAACCCAGTATCATTAATCGAATTAAAAACCAATTCTATGATTATAGATATTTTGTTGATTCAAGACTCTCAATATATTTATAAAACTGAAAATAAAATAATAATAATAATAATAACTTGAATATCATGGAACAAACATGACATGAGTATCACACATCAGCCCCATCTTTTGCACCGAAAGGATCATGAATAGGACCAACATCCTGCCCAATGTGACACTGCACCAGCCGCTGTAAATCCGCCATAACCTTGTGCTCACGTTTTGCTCTCTTCATAGTTAAACCTGGCCAGTGCCCTCTTGTCTCCGGCTCCATAAACCTGGTTTTCTTTCCTAAAACGAATGGCATTCATTCTCTGATGCCTACTACCACTCATGACATACCCTAGGGTCTGAAACTTCAGAATCTCCTCTGCTGAAAGGCCCACTTCACCTCTTCTTGGAATACGCTTCCCTTGCTGCACATACTTTGCAATGGCATCACCTTCACCAGGCCTCAAGAGTCAAGACACCTCCAAAACTAATATGCCCCTCTGCTCTCGGCAATGGCATTGGACCAACTGATGGCTCATTATCCGGTGCGGGTCTCTCCTGAGGAGCCTCAACCATTTCTTTAAATTTAAGCACCCCTGTATTGATTTCAGCCTTACTTAGCTTCATCCTCCTTTCCTCTACTCTTCACAACAGCTTCAGAATCTGATCCCCCGTCGGAACTCTCACTCTCTGTTTCCGA